TATTATGTGTGTGTGTGTGTGTGTGTGTGTGTGTGTGTGTGTGTGTGTGTGTGTGTATATATTATATATATACATATATATATGATAAACTAAAAATTAATTTGTACTTATTTATGAATGCGTCAGAATACCTCATCCGGTTGTGACTCGTCCAATCGGATCTTCTTGACCGCATACACCGTACCGTCAAGTTTGTTCATTACCCTGAACACCGACCCATACGCACCCTTTCCCAAACGATTCAATTCATAGAAGTCCTGTCGGTATCGTGAGCTGGGCCCATTCACAAATGACGGCTGCGGCGTTGCCATGGCAACGGGTGGTTGGGGTGAGAGGAACCCCACGGCATTGCCTGGGCTGCTTAAGCGGTTGCTCCACATGAGCTGATTGGTTGATTCGTACGGATGTACACTATATAGCGCCAGTTGCGCTGACGTACTACTGCCCCGGCTGTGGGAGGGGAGACTGTTCCTCCTTCTCAAGAATAAAGTCCAATAGAAAAGATGTTTGCTACATACGTGAGAAGAAAACAATACTCTAAGAGGAGCTAGTGTCTGTATGCATACGTGACGAATGGCATTCTATCTGGAAAGTAATTGTTTACTCAAATTACAGGGAAGACACACTGAGTCTCGGCACAACTATACATGGCGAACGAAATTCTATGTGGGTGTGGTTTGTATACTCAAAATACAAGGACGGTGCTTTAAGTCTCGGTATACGGCATAACTAGACAACTCTCAGCAGGTATATAAATATACCCACCCAGGCAATACACCTGTCTACTTCGAAGCAAATACAAGTGCACTAACAAGACATCGTATGAAGAATCCACATCGAAAACTGCGCCATCTAATCACATAGGCCGCCATATGAGCGATTACTTGGTACAACATCCTAGCCACACACTATGTTACAAACTACCAAGGACATATACTGATATGTCAACACATGCATCTTAGCCATACACTATGTTACAAACTACCAAGGACATATACTGATAGGTCAACACGCGCATAGGCCTAGCGAAATAGATAAATAAATACTTCAGCACATACATTGCAACACAATCAAATACCCACACTTGAATATTTGTCAATTGCTATGCACGAAAACAATACTCGCCAATTCATATGTGGTTTCTAGACGTCATATCTGGTCGACGTGACACGCAGTCAAACGTCAAACATACATTGCACATCTGGACTGGCGATATACTCGCATTTTACATTTTAAATATATATTCACTATAAAATATACTGAAAGATTCAAATATATGTGAAAGAGTTAAGCTACGACCTGTTTGGATTTATGGGGTAGAGACATCATTAAAATAGATCTCGAAACATGCGAGTAATCTCCATTCCCAATACACAACGCAGGCATGACTCTGTGTCACGCCGACCATCCCGCCGGCAGGGAGTTGACAGGTACATCTCGTTAACTGGCTGATGGTACCAGACCGGACCTCAAGTTTACAAGCTACATACACACCTACCTACACCAGACACACACCCTACATACTTGTCAATAAATATAAAACAGAAGTATCTAAATAAAAATTTAAAATACATTGTAAAAACAGATATTGAATATTTGATAAAATTAAATAATAGAAAAGGACTAAGACACAGATTTAGGTTGCCTGTTAGAGGACAAAGAAGTAAAACTCCTACCTGGCAGCCGGTTCATAGGAGCCCTCCGGCTCATTGTACGGATAGTCGGTAAGTGTCAATTGACCCACTTCCCCTCGGTCGCCCCCAGAAAAGCAAGCCACGCCCTGCGTCAATAGAGTCTCAATCCACAGCCGATAGCTATGACGCAGATACCCAAACTCGTCCGAGAGAGACGACGGGTGCATGTGAAACCCCTGTTCCAGCAGTTTCTCTGTAGAAATATAGAGTGAAATAAGTGGAACTATTTGCAAGGAGGCAGCAATATGTATATACATATCTATGTA